CAGTAGGAGAGACATGTCTTTCAGCCAGGAAAGGTGGAATCAGGAGAGAAGAGAGGACTGAAGGAAGATGCAGCAGCGTTTTTCCATGTGATTTTTCATCCCATTTTAGTGGCTGAGAGTAAAACTAAGATATTTGTTGCTTTCCCCCCAATTTTTCTTTCAAAATGAATTACAAACACATTTCCATTTCTACTTTGCAAAATGCTTGAAAGCCATAGAAAGTTCCTCACTGTAGATCTCATTGTGAATAGATGCCTTTGTTATTAGCCAATTATACCGTTCCAAAAAGCAGATGTTTCTTTTATATACAGCAATACTGATTACAATTTTTTTCCTTACAAATAAAAATAATTAAGTAGATTAAATGAGAAAACACTTACATAATATGGATCTTCAATAATAAGCTGTTTCTCTGGATCATAACTACCAAGGAGTTCAATTTTAGCTTTGCAATTTTTAATTTGATTGGATTTTCTTCTCAAGTCACTAAAAAGATCAGTTAACTTTTCATTATTATTAAGTAAAGCATATATTTTTAATCAGTATTGCTGTATATAAAAGAAACATCTGCTTTTTGGAACGGTATAATTGACTCGGCTAATAACAAAGGCATCTATTCACAATGAGATCTACAGTGAGGAACTTTCTATGGCTTTCAAGCATTTTGCAAAGTAGAAATGGAAATGTGTTTGTAATTCATTTTGAAAGAAAAATTGGGGGGAAAGCAACAAATATCTTAGTTTTACTCTCAGCCACTAAAATGGGATGAAAAATCACATGGAAGAACGCTGCTGCATCTTCCTTCGGGTACCTGCCAGTAGGAAATGGCTAACCTCTTGCAACTATCCAAAAAGGATAATTGTCAGAATGGCTCATTTAAAGTAGGCAAGCCCTAATCAATTCATGATCCAGCCCTTGGCTGGATGTAAGAGAGAGAATCCTAAAGCAAGGGGAAATGCATGAATTGTACAGGGACGTTGCAATTAAGGGATGTCAGTCTGTCTGTCAAATATAGAATGGCAATCAAAGTTCTGGAGATGAAGCCATGGAGCTGCATGATGACTTTTCCCCACAGCCAAGTTAAAGTACTATCCCCAGGACCTTTGACGAGTGTATTGGCTGCACCTCTCCTACCACAGGGATAATTCTACCAAACGGCTATGACCTCATTTTGCCCTGTGCACGACACACGTTAAGGAAAGGGACAAGGAGATTCCCCCAGCTTTCTTTCCTTCCTGATCCATCAAGCGTCACCAACTCTGAGGAGAACATTTACTACTCCTTCGTGAGGGATGGGACCGAGGAGGAAGTGAGCTCTAACAGACGCCCAGGCTGCTGGATTTAGCGATCTGTTAAAATCCACTCTGACTTTGTGCATCGCACAAGTCTGTTCACAGAGGCTTCTTCTACTGGATGTGGATTTAAAGCTCAGAGAGCGCCAAACCAGTTACTGCTGACAGGCATGGCCGAAGGGCAGCGCCCTATAATAAAGTGGGAGAGAGGGAATTGGTCAACTTCCTTTGAACTAATCAAGGCCTCTCTGCCTGGAGAACTGGGAGGGAAAGGGGAGAGCCTGTGTGAATACACTGGACTTCCCTGCTGTTCAAAATTAAAACATCTGACATTGCTCAAATATC